ATGCATATATATATATCTATATATATATATATATATATACATACATGATCTAAAATAGGCTACAAAATCAAATCTTTTCACGAATTAATAAGAAATAAAATTAAACGATACAATACTCCTTTATTGTCATTTCAACAACATGGTAAAAATGAAATTTGTGTTGGTTGATCCCATAGGCAATACACATAAAACATCCAATTTAGAAATATATAAAGTATGAATAAATAGATAATAGAAATAAAATGAAGTACCTTCAACATCGATAATAAAGACACATTCATTCTGATTTCCATAGCAATCTACTGCTGTAAAAAGAACTTCAGTAACTCCAATGCTAAATTCGGTGCTATTTGTGGCATTGTAAGACTCAATAATTTCATCTTCACAACAGTTATCAGTAGCGATTGCAGAAGTCCATGACACTAGGGCGGTATTAACACCTTCGTCAGTATCAACAGTAATATCGTCTGGACACATCACATCAGGAGAAGTCACATCTATTAGAGAATAAAAGGTAATCACAAGAAATTTTGTAAAAATGCAAACGATATGTATGTTTATTCTATTCAATATGTAGCAGCATAATATGACTTTTCTAAATATGCACATACAAAATACATACCAAAAATGTAAACATTGAAGGAGCAATTGCCAGTGTTTCCTGCCATGTCTGTTGCATTACAGGTTACTGTGTAGTTGTCCAATTGAAAAATACCTTCAGTCGGATTACAGAACACAGTTACATCACTATCATAATTATCTGTTGCTGTCACTTCAGTCCAAGTTACATCGGAAGTGCAATTATCATCAGCATCAAATTCTACATCTTGCGAACAGTTCAAAACAGGAGCTTCGCAATCTGAACATCAATAAAATAATATTTTAAAATAATGAACGAATTCTAAGTGGTATAACTGAATAATTCTGAACAAACACAATAAAATATTGTCATTACCAAACACCATTATAGTAAAATTGCATAATGCTGAGTTGTCATTACAGTCAGTGGCTATGTATGTTACTACATTTTCACCAATTTCAAATTCATCTCCTGATGTGTAA